AGAACGCCGATAATATTATTCACATTGTAACAAAACTTCTTTCATAAAATGTATCCGAAGCTGACAAGTTATTTAAAGGAGAACTATGGGGTCAGTGTTTTTCCCCATAGTTCTCCTTAGGGTAACGGGAGGACACAAACTAGCGTCCTCCCGTCACCCTAAGCTCAGTATATAGGGAGCTACAGCTCGCGGTATACTGAGACGCCGCAGCCGGAGCTGATCCGGACATCGATGTCTGGATCCGCCCAGCTGGGTGAGTGACAGCTGGCTCCGCCTATCTAGAGGCAAGGCCAGCTGTACCCGCCCCCTCCCCCGTCCGATCCGCCAGTCAGCGCTGGAGGAGCGGGGAGGGGGGAATCCCTGCAGGGAGTTGTGAGTGACAGTCACGGCTCTCTGCAGGGAGATGATCGAGGAGTGAGCGAGCGCCGGTATGTGTTCGCTCACCTCCCGATCTACTGAGCCGACCTGTGACAGTCTCATTGTCACAGGTCGGCTGGAACTATGAGGTGAGTGAAAAGCCCCCCCCCCCCCTTCCCCCCTCATAGTTCTCCTTTAAGAAAACGAGGGGTCAGGATTTGCGCTCTGCATTGTCCCCAGGACTGAAAATGGCAGAAAATCCCACCGTTGTCACCGGAACAGGAAGTGAAGGCAATCTGTGAGTGGGGACACCTGTTCTCTGAACTGGACGCTAGACATGTGCAGGGCAAAAAGATTCGTTTCGGACGAAACAAATGAAAGTGAGAAACGTTTTCATTTATATCGTCAACGGAAACAAATTTTAACGCGGTTTTCGGATTGCCTCCGAATCCAAAACTGCAGAACAAGCGGCGGCCGTATCAGCTGCTAGCGCATTCTGCGCGTGTGTGCCGCCATTCTGGAGTATATTTTGGTATACACCAAGATGGCGGCACCCGAATAGGTGGGAATAGTATACCAAGATATACTCCGATCTGGCCGCCGCCCGATCTGATCTCTCTATATACAAAGTGATATCACCCCCCCTCCCCCCATCCCATCCCCCCATCACCCACCATCTCTGCTTTCTATCCACAGCCTGGCCATGGAGACCGCGCTTTTCCTCCTCTGCTGTTCTATGGTGGTCACGACAGCGCTTGGTATGTATGAACATTAGAGTGTAAGCTCCTTTGTACAGAGACTGATGTGACTGTGGGGGGAGGGGGCATTAGAGTGTAAGCTCCTCTGTAGAGAGACTGATGTGACTCTGGGGGAGGGGACATTAGAGTGTAAGCTCCTCTGTACAGAGACTGATGTGACTGTGGGGGGGGGCATTAGAGTGTAAGCTCCTCTGTACAGAGACTGATGTGACTGTGGGGGAGGGGACATTAGAGTGTAAGCTCCTCTGTACAGAGACTGATGTGACCGGCTCAGTGTTCTCTGTACAGCGCTGCGGTATATGTCAGAGCTATACATGTATAATATTGTGCCTGTGGGAGGAGTCAGACTATTCGGGACGGTTGAGTCTCGCAGAATTCGGACATGTTCCCCTCTCTGTACTTCCACGTTGGGACGTCTGTAACAAATTAGGAGTTTCACGTGAATCATATTTCTGGACGGCGAATCGTTCCCGGGCAGCGCAGCCAAGACTCCTCCCCAGCTCCGCCCCCTTCTCTGTAGGCAGCAATTCATGAAGATCTCACTGGCAGCCTACATCACTATGAATCATACTTTGTAAAGACTGCGGCCGCTGGTAGGGGAGCCGTCGGAGTGCCGGGGGCTGATCCTGGAATTGGCTCAATATAGAACAAGAGGATTATGGGAAGGAATGCAGCCATGGCGGCTTAACGGCCTTATCCCTCCTGCGGGATGGTCATGTGACCGCTATGCGATTATAGGAAAACATGCAGATATGCACCGTGTCATCCTGGCAGAACATAATGGGGGTTATAGTCCCCTTTAAAGATGTGGAGTGGTGGAGGGGAATTTAGGTTTGGTTTAAATTCAGAACAATGGCAGATAACCCCCCCCCCCCAAAAAAAAATATCTGACTTTCCG